GATGTCTCAATTCTACCTTCCTTAGGCTTGACAGCCTGTTTTAAAGTTTCCCAGCAGGTGGTGGTTCTGAAATAAAAACCAATTCCTTGTGCAGGGAGGGGTCGTCAGGGGGACCCTAAACTGGGGCCAACATCTTTCATAATTCATATTCTGTTCCATAACGTTCCATCTGCACAAGCGACAGTCTACCCGTCGGTATTTTATAATGCAGATAAGCCTGAGGATTATTTAGATATGATTTATGAAATTATATGTGGCACGGTTAGCGAGTTCTATGTTCCAGCTTCCTTGATGGCCCGAGATAAATGAGTGACCCATCAAACTGTTCGTCTGCTCATTGGCCATCTGACGAGGGGTCCGGTTTTTATGTAGGTCTCTCATATTTCAAGATATGAGACATAGTGGAAAAATTGATTTGAGAAGTGTTCATCTAATTCTGTCACCTATGCTGCGCTAGGTTCATCAGGTCAGCATTTCTTTCAACTTCTGGGAAGGCTCCTTATCTGTTTTACAATGTGTGAAACTACACAGGTTCTCCTGGCAGTGTGGCACCACGTGGCTCCCTGCTGGGATCTGGCCTGTGACACTTTTAACACACACACATTTGTCACTGTGCCTCTCAGGAAGGGAGGGGGGAACGAGAATGAGGGAATAACATATATCAGGAGGGTTAATTCCTCCACCAAGATGGAGGTTGAAGCCAAAATGGTTGAGCCGCGTCCATCTCTGATGCACACGTTTGCAACAGTTGTGGTGGCTCTTATTTTTTTAAATCTAAAATAACTATAGGTAATAATTATTTCAAAACTGTCTTTTTGTGAAAATCATACTGCAAGTATTGACCCCCTCTGTTTAAAAACAGTTAAGGGCTTATTTAGAAATGTGATGTTCCACATGGCTTCTGCATATTATGCACCATTCTTAAATTTAAGTCCCCAGAATGCATCCTGTGGTACTCTGCAGGAGTGATGCTGATTGGAGGAGAGATGTTGAGAGATGTTCATGACCAGTCTCTCCTCCCAGAAGTAGACCTGTCCTCAGAGTCTGAATCTTAGAGGTGGCTGCAAACGAGTAATTTATATCACAGAAGTATTTCATAAAAAATCTGTCTGCAACCCTGTTGCTCTTCTTGTGGCAGCACCAGTAAAAATCAGCCCAGTGCCTTTCATTTGAGCTTTGACAAGGGACATAGGTGCTGGTATTTCCATTTCTGGTTGCCCTCCAAAATTGGGATACCAGCCTGTTTTCCTGGTGGGATGTACTAATACAAATAAAGGGAATTCCTATACTGTTATCTCTTTGTTTTAAGAAGTGGAAGAAAGAAATCAGATGACAGTTGAATAAATGGTAATTGGCCACATTTATGACCATGATTTATATGACCAAAAGTATTTCTTAAACTGTCTAAAATACCTCTAACAGTGCAAGTAGGCTAGGCTGAGAATCTTTCACATTTGAGCAAAATTATAAATCAGTCAACGTGATACTCAGAAAATATTCACTGAAGGTGAAGCAATCACTTTGACTGAAAACATGTATTGAGCAGATTCACCTGGGGAAAATGTTTGGTGAATGTCACATTCACTGCTTTATAAATATGCTCCACGGTGTAAAACATAGTTGAAAAGCAGCTGAAGTCTTTTTACAGCACTGTCACCTTACATTCTTTGTGACAGAAGTACTGAATAATATTATGCTTTAATCTTCTCCAAGATGAGCAGAATGTGCAAGATGAGTTTAACTTCATCTAAGCAGAAAAGTACATTTATTTAAAAAAAATAAAATGATTAGTACAAAAATAATAATTAAGTGATATGTTTGAATAGTAGTAACATTAGTATTATAAATAATGAATATTGGTTTAAAAGATTTCTAAATCTATTGATTTCTATTACGAAAACCAGATGGCAGTTGACATGACTTTCATTAATATGGCTCAGGAAAGACAATTACCACAGAGCATGCTTAAATTAGGATGATTGTCAGTCAGTATATCTAATTCCCTATATTTTACTCTTCACTGTGACGTAAATTGTCAGACCCTGGTGATAGCTCAGTTTCTTTCATGATTATTGTCATTAAGATCCACCTGCGATTCTAATTTCAAATTACCAAATAAGTCACATCAAGCCACATTCACTTACAAGAGATTTCAAATTATATATTATATTTTAGATCTTCTCTGAGTATATTTGACTGCTAGCCTTGTGAAAGTAACAAGCAACATAACCATTTGCAGCTATGCAACCGTTTACCCTATTTTAAGATAATGATATGCAAGAATAGATTACATTGATTGGTTGATGTGGGCACTGAAAAGGTCAAAGACACATTTATAGATGTCTGCCAAAGTGTGTCATATTACTTTACTTATTTCCACTTGAGAAAGCTGGCATAAATAATTGATCATGTATCCATCATTTATTCTTAGCAAACTAAGCTAAAACAGTGAACATGTCACCACGACTTTGACGATTTGCTAGATAGACTTGGTGTCACAGTATGGGTAAACCAAGAATTCCATGATTCATGCAAGTGTTATTTTAATGGTGTATGGTAATATGCAGAGGGTTTTGAATCTCAAGCATGAGGTGGTCACACCCCACTAGCACATCACGTGGTTTGTATATGAATGCTGCTTTACAGGAGGAGCATTGCTGATGGCTAAGCCCAGTGTACTATAACAAGTAGTCTTGAAAGTTTTTTGTATGTAAAGGTATGTCTGAACCGCAATATAAAGTTTGCTGCCTCATTTAATGGCACAAAAAAAAGTAATTAAACTTTGATGCTGATCTCATTGTAGATAAAACATAGTTGTGGTCTGTTATTTACAGAAATGTAACCGTCTTTGAAGAGCAAAAAGGAATAGACTTTACAAAAATCTAAACATACCAGCTATTGTGCATCTCTTATGTTTTGGAAGCCCATAGTGCAAAAGTGTTGCCACCAGGGGAGGAAGTGACAGAGCTAGCAATATGCAATAGACAGATGTTTAAGGTTATTTTTTACTCAATTGATAGACTATTTTCATTTTTGTTGAATTTCTTTTGAGCAAAATTCCTCATTTCTTGTATATTTGGCAATTAGATGGCTATTTACAGGTCAATAAATAATTTCTCCTTTTCTCCTTGTTTAATGATCTGTACAGTTAAAGATTAATAGGCTGAATTTTTATACTTTGGGATTTCTCTTATATAACTACTGACACTAAAAGCATCTGAACATTTCAGCCCAGTTGATGCTTTTTTTTAGCTAAAAAGTTGACAAAAAGCTAAACCTAAAAACCTCCATTAGTCTATGAACAGATTTAGAAGCTTGGGTTTGAATATTGGTGGTAGCAACTAATTGGTCTGGTATGGATTTTAAGGGGAACCCCACAATGTTTTTTCTGTGGGGTTTCCCTTGTAAATTTTACTTTTGCTTGTGTGCATCCTACAGATGCATAATTTATCAGGCCAATTAAATTAAATATTATTTAAAGGTGTTGTGCATTTTTAATATTGCCATTTAAGTCTTATTAAAAGAGCTGCTCCTTCCCAAATGGTAAATTTTTTGTTGTGTTAGTATATATCCCTTTGCCAGTGCCCTGCTCCCCATGCCTTTTGTTTGACAACCATGTGCCTACTAGCTTTGACAATGGAGAGAACTGATTTTCAAGATTTGCCTCCATTGACTTCAATGTGGTTCACATTAAAGTTACCAGTTTGCAGACTTTTGGACATAGTCATGAAACCTGTCTTCATATTGAACCAAGTAGATTCGCTCATCAACAGTCACTATGGACAACTTTGTATTAAAAAAACACAGTTCTTGCTTAGTTGCCCACATATGTAATGCAAAATCAAAGCTATTGCTGCTCAAATAAGCATAAATAAATAAAAGAATAACGTAAAGGGATTAGCAGTTCAACATTCAACCGATAGAACCCAGTCTATGTGGAACTTTAGGGGCAGAAGCCAGGAGCTAATACAAGGCTTGCTATTATGAAAGAAAATACAATAAAAACAAAGGGGCTGAAGGCATTAATATTAAGAAAATTGGTAATAATAGGAAGAAAATACAGGCTAAAAAAAGAGGTGACCAACAGCTCATTACAAATAATATCAGCCCTGAGGAAAGGAAAGTAAAAAGAGTTCCTGAAAAAGAAATCCTGACATTGTCAGAAAAATAGTGTATGGTATACTTAGCTAAAAATAAATAAATAAATAAAAAAAAATAGAAGGTTGCAGAAACCTTCCACAAAAAAGTGCTTAAAAATCAATCAAAAACAAAATGCTGCTATAACAAAAAGGCATAATAAAGAAAAGTATTTTCAAGACAACGCTGTATAAAAGCTGCTGAGTCCTGAGACAAAAACAGGGGAAGGGGCAAAACACTTATCCTAGAAGAGGATGCCAAAAATCCTTAATAAAAAAGAAGGTGGCTATAAAAAAGGTAATAAAAAAGGGGGTTGTTTTAATAAAGACTTTTTATTAGACAACACCTTATATACCCAATTACATTTAAAAATGATTTGTTATAATATGATTCACTTTTATTTTTCTTTCTTTCAGTAATTTGATTTTTACCTTCTTTGTGGGTGCCCAATGTCTTTGTGGGCCCCGACTGCAGGTCTACCTAATACCTGTACCTAATTAGAAATCCAGCCTTGTATAGTTTTTAAGTGATATATGAAAATGCTCTTTTGTGCAACTCCAGAGTATCTCAGAATAGCAGTTGGGTCTCTTTACAGCTTGCAGATGTTAGTCCTTGATCATAGCCTTTGTTAAAGCTGCAACTAGAAAGAATGTCTTATGCTCATGGCTGGACCCAAAACCTCATTAACCACAAGCCTACAGGGCACTTATACCACCTCCCTGCACAGGCCAATTTCCAGCTTTCAGCGCTGTCGCAATTTGAATGAACATTGCGCGATCATGCAACATTGTACCCATATGAAATTTTTATCATTTTTTTGTGACAGAGAGTTATTTTGGTGGTATTTAATCAACTCTGGGTTTTTAATTTTTTCTTAAACCATAAGCCACAGAAAATTTTGAAAAAAAAAATGTTTTTTCTTAGTTTTTGTTATAAAATGTTATAAATAAGTGATTTTTCTCCTTCACTGATGTGCGCTAATGAGGCTGCACTGATGGGCACTGATAGGCTGCACTGATGGACACTGATAGGTGGCACTGATGGACACTGATGAGGAGGCACTGGTAGGTGGCACTGATGGGCATTGACAGGCATCACTGATGGCCACTGAAAGGCAGCACTGATATATGGCACTGATAGGCGGCACTGACTGGCACTGATAGGTGTCACTGACTGGCACTGATAGAAGGCACTGATGGGCACTGAGGCGCACTGATAGGCGGCACTAACTGGCACTGATAGGCGGCACTGATTGGCAGCACTGATAGGTGGCACTGATTGACATTGATAGGTGGCATTGACTGGCACTGATGGGTGACACTGAAAGGCAGCTCAGATGGGCACTGATATGTGGCATTGATGTGCACTGGTAGGCACTGATATGTGGCATTGATGTGGCACTGATGTGCACTGGCACATGGCACTGATGAGCACTGACAGCTGGCATGATGGACACTGACAGGTTGCACTCCTGGGGCTACACTGATCATCAGGGCACACTTATCATCAGTGCTCTGATAATCAGTGTACATGTCCCCTCCACGGAATGTTGATTAACGGTTCTCCTCTCGAGCTGTCAGCATGACAGCTCATGAGGAGAGAAATGCTGATAACAGGCATTTCCCTGTTTACATGTGATCAGCTGTGATTGAACTCATCTGATCACATGACCGAGCCGACATCTTCGGCTCTTTCCGTGATTGGTGATCCGCTGTGTCCGAGGGACACAGCGCACCGCCGATCGCCACGCTGGGCGCTCAGGGAGCCACGCATGCACAGTTAGAATGGGGGGACGTCATATGACATCCTCCCAGAACGAGAGAACCACCTTGCGCCCGTCATTGTACTATATGGCGGGCGCAATGTGGTTAGAGGAGTCAATTAACAGTACCACTATTTTTATGAATCATTGAATTCCCGATTTAACACAGATAAAGGTAAAGCTGCATTCAAACTTGTTGGACTTTCCTAATTATTCGTCCTTCAGATCAAGGCAGAATAATTGCACATATGTTTAGCCAATCAGCTAATCTTTCTACCACTGAGCTAAACCTTCTTTTTTCTTTCCTCTCTGTGCTTTATGTTTCTATGCAGTCATTGTAGAAAAAAAGATCTTTAAATAGAAAGATGTACTAAAGTGACAACTTATGCAAATCATAGATCTATGAAAATGAAAAATCTATGAAAATGTTCTAATTAGCTCCACATACAAGGCTTGCCTAGCCATTGTTTCCACAGCATGTAAGTAAAGGCCAAGTTAGGTTTCTTGCTATGAAATATCAGGTCAATTTAGGGATGTCACATATGTTAAAAAAAAGGTAAATCATTAGAATCTGAGAACTGGTGATGCCAGATGGTAATTTTAGAAATGTAAAATACAGACCGTAAAAAAGACTGTTATTTTACATTTATACTTGTAGTAGGACCCAGGCTAGTGCTGGTTTCACTTCAGTGGTGAAAACTGGTATCCTGTGTTGCTGGAACTGACATACTGTGTGTCTGACATCCAATCACAGCGGGTGTGCTTGTAAAACACAACCAGTGTCCACTCCTGGGAGATAAGGAATGCACATGACTGCTTCTTCAGCCACAGATGATGAGGCATGGGAAAATCTCAGCAACCTGAAGCTTGCTGTATCATTTATGTATTCAGTGTTATTGAATTATTACACCATTGAGACACACAAACTTAATTTAGCACCTTTTGTCAAATCTATAACTACATAATTTGTTAATACACACATATTTTGTATTTCATATTATTTTTTATGTTGGACTAGTTGCTCTGAAACACAAGCTGCTATTTTCTAATAGTGTTGTAAACAGAAATACTGCATTTTTTCATTGAAATAAGACATCTTTTTTTTAAGCACTTGTAAAAATACCATAATGCCTGATAAGCTAGAAATGAGGGCTGTCTGGAGTTTATTGACTACTGGGAATTAACCCGAGAGATGCTTCAAGTATTGGATTTAGGTGTGAAGTTTATGCCTGATGCTAATTTAGACAAATTCAATTTCTTTTTAATTCAATACATTCAAATTCAATATGAGAATGTTGCATGAAAGAAGAATGAAAGTTATTGAAAGAGGAATGAAAAAAAGATTAGACAACAGAAATAACATTGTCATTAGACTTGTCAACAAAGGGGGGGAGGGATAGTGACCTTAGAAAAGGATGACTATGAACAAGAAATGCAAAGATTACTTTCAATGAATGATGCATGTAAAGTTTTTCCCAGAAAACCGATGAATGAAGTCATGAGTAAAATAAAAAAAAAACTGGTAAAAAGAGGAAAGAGATTAAGGATACAAAATAAGAAATAAGCCAGTTTTCTAGGGCCCAGTGCTCCCAAAATTCCAGTCATTAACTATACACCTAAAATACATAGGAACAAAATTTAGCCCCCAGAGAGACATATAATAAGTGGCATTGACTCTGCTTTTAGCAGAATAAGCGGACATGTTGACACTTTCTTGCAAAAGATAGTAACGAGTAAACCGGCTTACCTGAAAGACAGTGGGCACCTAATTATAATAAAGTTATTGAAGGACATACCCTGGGATGGGGATTGTATACTGCCAACAATAGATGTAAATGCATTACATACCAGCATAAAACAGGAGGGTTAAATGGAAGCAATGGGGTGGGGATTGGAATATTGCAAAAGACTTAAGGATGAACAAAGGAGGTTTATTTTGGAGTGTGTGAAGTTAGCCATGAAAAACAGCTTCTTCTGATAAAAAAACAAATACTACTTACAGATAAATGAAGTAGCAAAAGGGGATAAGTATTATTATTATTTTAATACAGGATTTATATAGCGCCAACAGTTTGCTCAGCACTTTACAATATAACGGGAGACAATACAGCAACAATACAGTTCAATACAAGAGGGTTAGGAGGGCCCTGCTCCTTGGAGTTTACAATCTGAGAGGGAGGGGCTAGTGGTACAAAAGGTAGTAACTGTAGGGGATGGACTGGTAGGAGGAGTAGAAGATTCCATTATTAGCTGAGGGCAGGATAGGCTTCCCTGAAGAGATAGGTTGTCAGAGTTCGCCTAAAAGTGAGCAGAGTAGGCGATAGTCTGATAAAATGGGGTAGAGAGTTCCAGAGGATGGGGGAAGCTCTGGAGAAGTCCTGGAGATGAGCATGGTAGGAGGAGACAAGGGAGCTAGAGAGCAGGAGGTCATACGAGGAGCGGAGAGTACGGTTTGGGTGATATTTGGAGACAAGATTGGAGATGTAATTTGGGGCAGAGTTATATATGGCTTTATATGTTATTGTTAATGTTTTGAATTTTATCCGTTGGGTAATGGGAAGCCAGTGGAGGGATTGGCAGAGAGGGGTGGCAGATATGGAACGGTTAGTAAGGCGGATGAGTCTGGCAGCAGCATTCATGATAGACTGAAGAGGGGATAGCCTGCGATGAGGTAGGCCAATGAGGAGGGAGTTACAATAGTCAAGACGAGAGATAACAAGGGAGTGAATAAGTTACTTAGTAGTTTCTGAGGTTAAAAATGACCATATCTTGAAGATGTTGTGGAGGTGAAGTACATGATTTGGACAGCGATTGGATTTGGGGCTGAAAGGACAGATGGGAGTCTAGGATTACATCTAGTACCCTGGCATGACGGGAGGGACTGATGGTTGTATTATTGGTCTTGATGGAGAAGTCAGGGGAGGGGGCACGGGCTGGAGGGAATACTAAGAGCTCAGTTTTGGAAAGATTGCGTTTGAGGAAGTGGAGTGACATCCATGCCGATATGTCACTTAGTAGATTAGTAATCCGAGCTTAGACTGAAGGGGTGAGTGAGCAGTAGAGAGATAGATTTGTGTGTCATCAGCATAGAGATGGTACTTAAAGCCATGGGAGTTTATGCAGTTACCAAGGGAGGAGGTGTAGATGGAGAAGAGAAGGGGTCCAAGGACAGAACCTTGAAGGACCCCTACAGAAAGAGGGAGTGGAGAGGAGGAGACAGAGTTATAGGTAACACTGAAGGAGCGCTGTGATAGGTAGGAGGAGAACCAGGACAGAGCAGAGTCTGGTAGGCCAAGAGTGGAGTTTTTTGAGGAGGAGGGGATGATCAACAGTATCAAAGGCTGCAGAGAGGTCAAGTAGTAAGAGTACGGAGTAGTGGCCATTGGTTTTAGCAGTTAGTAATAATAATAATAAGGTTGCTCCCAGTGTAGCAAACCTGTTCATGTCAAAGTGTGGGGCAGAGGAGATTTATGGAAAAACAAGGGAGTAATTAGTTATTTATTGATGACTCATTGATTATATTATAGTGGTATAGAGAGGAAGTGCAAGTTCACTAGAGGAATTTATGAATGATATCAATAACAACATGTATGTTATTTCATTCTCTAGAAATTGGAGGCACAAAGAAGTACATTTCATAGACTCTACAGTGTTTGCCCAGGACAACCAATTGTGTATAAAAATGTTATTTAAGGACACGGATCATAACAGTTTTTTACCCACCCACAGTTGCCATCACCCTAAGTGGGTAATAATATCCCTAGGTCAAATGATTAGGATGAGCCATATCTGAGATTTAGACAGTGACTATTATACGCAAAGCAATATTCTAGTTGGAGGTTTGGAAAAGAAGGGCTACAATAGATACAAGCTAATGTAAATTAGAGGAGCAGTAGCAGGGATGAGTAGAAAAAAATTACTGAGTAGTAGTAATAAAAAAAATAAAACAAAATGCCACGTCAGGGCAGACCAGGAAGTAACGTCATCCTTTACAGTACACTTGGAAGTGACACTTTATACACCCAGTAAGGAGCAGGAAGAGACTGCTCAGCACTGTAGCATGCTTTGTGACAGTATTTTAACTAAAAACTTTGGACCAAGCCACCCAATAAGTGATATGTCACTGGAATAAGCAGCTTGAGCTTTTGAGTTCTGCTAATTACAAGCTTTAGACCACATTCATACCTGGGACAGATCTTGGGGGGTGCTGAGATGGGCTGTGCAACCCCAGATTTTAGTTGATCCCCCCCAGGTCTCCAAGAGTGCATCCACTCATCCATGAGCCACCCTTATGAGGGTAATTGATGTAAGGTAGCACGCTTATCCAGACAGTTAATGTAAGGGGCACTGTAATGGGACTTACCTGATGTGAGAGGGAACTCTGATTGGGAAAATCCATGTAAGGGATCACTGTCATTAGAGATACCTGATGTAAAGGGGCACCCTTATTTGGACACCTGACATAAGGGGGACTCTGATGGAGACACAGAATGAAAGTGGGCACTCTGATGGGGTAACTGTTAATAAGTAAAATGGCACTCTAATGGAAACAGTTAATGTAAAGGGGCATTGATGGGGACACCTGATGTAAGGGGGCACTCTGATAGGGACCCCTGATGTGAGGGAGCATTCTGATGGGGACCCTGATGAAAGGAGGCACTCTGATGGGGATCATGATGTAAGGGGGCACTCTGATGGAGACCTTG